GTATCAGTCAGAACCAATCTGACGGCACACACACAAAAAAATAATAAAATTTTTTAAAAAAGAATTCCCAAGAATAATTTTAAAAGCCTCCATCGCCATCCTTGTTCTCATTAAACTTATCTTTTGCTTTTATTTTTCTAGTTGTTGTTGTTATTGCCCTCAAGTCAGAAATATATCAGGTGTTTTTCTTGTTATTTTGTGTCACCTAGTCAGAACTGGCCCATATCTGACCCTCCAGTGGGTTTTCAGAGGCAATAAACTTCAAGGGAGGAGATTGCCCATCTTTGTTCTGCAGAGAAGCTGGTGGATTCGAACCACATGTCTTTACATTGGCAGCTCACTCCCTTACCTCTAAGCCACCAGAACTCCCTACCATCAGGTTGTCAGAAGCTGTAAATCAACCTGGAGGAGACTGCCTCTCTTTCTCCCTTGGAGGGTCTAGTGGATATGAACTGCAGGTCTTTGGGTTCTAGGCCACTTGAGTAAACCCAAAAGAACCCCTGGACTGACAGCTGAGCTGTCTTTCCACTTTCATGTATTTTCGCATATAAATGTGCCTGTGTGTCTTTGAGAACTCTCACAATCATGCTGTGTGAACTTACTTGGAGAAGCTCGTAGCCAGTGTCGCAGAGGAGGGAGTAGTGGTCCTTGAGGATGTATCTGTCTTGCACAGGTGAAATGTGGCCGTTAGGTGGTGCCATCGGATCAGGGCACGGCTGAGCTGCACAGAGCAAATTCCAAGGCTTTGGCTTTGACTGGCCTACATCGGCTGGTACTCAATTCAGCTTAGTTCTTGGTCTGTACACCCTTAACATGTGAAAGGTTTACCTCAACTGGGATAGAGTCCCTTAATGATATAGAATCAAGGACAAGATCGAGCTTCCAGGTGCAGTTCCACTGGTTCCCCACTGCCATTCAGTCACTTCAGACTTCAGGATGACCCAGCAGGTTAGAGCAGAACTGCACATAGGGTTTCCAAGGCTGTCAGCTTTACAGAAGCCTTACACCTGCTGTGACGTGGCTAGTGGGTGTGAACTGATAACCTTCTGGCTAGCAGCTGAATTCCTTATCCACTTATGCATCTCCAACACACACTCATCTCTCCCATTGCCAACAAGTCAATTCCAGCTCATAGCCGACCCTCCAGGGAGTTCCCATGGCCATAAATCTCAAGTAAAGAAATGCCCCAAGAGCAGATGTTGGATTCGAACCTTCAGAGAAGTGTGGGCTTTGAATTAGTATTGGACTATACACTCAGAGCTCCCTTTTATACAAGAACAGGTGTAAAACCAAACCTGTCATCAACTCAATTCCAATTCATAGCAGTCCTGTCAGACAGAGTAGAAGTAAATTACCACATCCTTCTCCCGTGGACCAGCTGGTAGGATTGAACTTTTGATCTTTTAGTTAACAGTCAAGTGCCTAACCACTGCACCACCAGGGCTCCTTTGATTTTAGGGGGAAAAAACCAAAATAAGCTCTTCAAACTCATTGCTGTCAAGTCAGACCCTACAGGTGACCCACCGCTGGGTTTCTGAGACACTAAATCAGTGCAAGAAGGGCTGCCCATCTGTCCCCCAAGGAGCCACTGGTGGATTCAAACTGCCAGACAAGTCCGGCCTTTAGGTTAGCAGCATGACTCTCTGTGGACGAGGCTGCCAGAATGAATGTGTTACTTGCAGAGGAACCAGGTGGTGCGGACAGGCTTCAAGGGCAAAGCCTTATGGTCCTACCAGAAAGCTGGGATGGACAGGGAGCCAGCCTGGGTGCCATCCGACCTGGGGAAGCCCTGGGCTCTCTGAAGCCCCTAGTCTGTCCCTATAGAGTGGTTGCCTAAGCGGAGGCTCTGGGCTGAATGGAACCAAAGTGCCCAAGACACTGGGCGAGGTGAAACTATGTTTCAGAAGTTTAGCTGGAGTCACTGCCAATGAAAGCGGCTGCTAGAGGGCAAAAGGGACTCAGCAATCTGGTGACACGTTTTGGGAATGGAAGGAGCCCTGATGACGTCATGCATTGCATGTTGAAATGCTAACTGAAAAATCAGTGGTTAGAATCCCCCAGGTGCTCCTCTGGGAAAAGATAATGTAATCTGATCAATATTTACAACCTCAGAAACCTAACAGAATCACAGGGTTGCTATGAGTCAGAGTCAACTTGATGGTATCTAACAACGACAATAGAATCATCCTCAGGGGATACTAGGGATGAAGGGAAGACAGGAAGGAACAGGGAACATAATATAATAAGGGCTTGATCTGACACTGTAATTACTTAATTCTATTAATTGGATTTAATGTTATAAAACTAGGTAGGTAGATAGATAGATAGATAGATAGATAGATAGATAGATAGATAGATATGATCAAATGAAAAACAAGTGTGATTTGTAAACTTTCTTTCCAATTTTGAGAAAGAGACATTCACCCTTCAAAGCCCTAATGCACACAGCTCTGCTCTGGCATGCATGAGACCAGCATGAGTCACAGTTGACACAGTTACAGCTGGTATTTCTGGTGGCACAGCTTTAAACCCCAGCTCTCAGTTCCCAAAGGTTCTTTCCAACCTTTCTGAGCCTCAGTTTCCTCGACTGTAAGATGGGATGGTGATGATCATAGACCTGCCTTCCTGGGGCTGTGGTGAGGATGTCAAGGGTCCAGGATAGTGTCCAGCTGAAGGCATTGTGGTCAGACCTCTGCATGGTCCTGCAGGGCAGCCATCGGGGCACAGGAGGACTGGGGTCAGGACTTCAGGTTGCATGGAAAGAGAACTCCACATCTAGACTGGTTCGGGGATGCCCACCCCAGTGTGCCATCTCCAGCCCCTCCCTCCACAGCTCAGTGACCCTGTCCTTTGGAAAACATCTTGAGCTACTGCTCTTTTTTTTTTTTAATTCACTCTTTTTATTTTCTTTTTTTAAAATTTTTATTATTTTTGTGTGAGTGTACCGTCAAATCAGATCTGACAGGTACAGGAGGAAATTGTCCCTCCTTCCCCAGCAGAGCATCTGGTGGATTCGAACCGTGCACCTCTGGGATTGTAGTTGCAGCTCCTTGCCACTAGGCCACCAGAGCTCCCCAAGCTACTGCTCTTAAGAGCAGTGAGAAGCAGACGTGTACAGAGGACAGTGCCCTGCAAGGAGTGGGGGCTTGGTATTGTGTTCAGGAGGTGGCAACGTGTGTGGAGGTCTGTCATAGGAAGGGGTGATGGGAGCCAGCCCCCAGGTGTGGGACAGGGCCAGCGGACAGAGCACCTTGGACCCCTGTACAGGCTCCCTGAACTCCAGCCCAGACTCTGTCTGATGGAGGCCCCTACATAGCTCCATAGTTTCATGTGTTCTTCTCACCCCCACAGCTCACACATTCCTCACCTTCCACAGCTCCACCCTGGGCAGTGGCACCTCTGGGTTTCACACATACTCCTCCCTCCACCCGGAACACCCTTACCCAACCCCTCCTGTACTTCAGATCTAATCTAGACCCTTTCAGTTCCAAGAAACCTTCCTTAGCACCCAGCCCCTGCTGAGCCAGGCCCCTTCTGGGCTCTAAGGCTGTGCTCACCACAGGTCTCTGGTTATATTACCATAACTGACTCCCACTGAACTGACGCTGTGGAGACTGACTTCTGTGGTCCAGTCTCTCGCATGGGGAAATGGTAGAGAGAAGAATGGAAGGAAAGAGAGGAGATGATGGAAGAAGGGAAGGTAAATGGGTGGATATAGATGGTTAATGATGGGGGTGAAGGGCGAGGATGAATGGGTGGAAGTCATGGATGGGTGAAAGGATGGATGATGTGTTTCTGGTTTGAAATGTGCTCTCTCAAAACAGGTCTTTGATTCCAAACCTGTATAACCTATGGGTGTAATTCTGTTTAGAGATAGGGTTTTCTTTATTATATTAACAGAGCCATATAAGTGTAGGGTGGATCCTGAACCTAATCACTTCTGAGTTATAAAAAGCTGCATTGACATAGAGTTAAGTACAAGCACATCCTGGACGAAGACGAATGCCATATGAAGATCGCCAAGGGACCAGGGACAGGAGAACTATCAACATGGAGAGACCAACAGGGCAGAGACCCTGCTTTCCGGAGCACTGGTGGGTTAAGCCAGCAATATGAATCCACCAACCACTCTGAGTGGGAAAGATGATACAGTCTGCTCCCAAGACGAGTTACAACTGGGGAAAATCTTAAGGGATAGCTCTCCTTGGCCCTACCAGGTGGGACAGCTCTCCTTGGCCCTACCAAGTGGGAGGGCTTTCCTCTGTCCTACCAGGTAGGATGGATCTCCTCTGTCCTACCAGGTGGGATATCGCCTCAGTCCTAACAGGTGGAACAGCTCTCCTCCTCGGCCCTACCTGATGGGATAGGGGACAACTTTCCTCTTTCCTACCAGGTGGGAGGGCTCACCTCTGTCCTACCAGGTGGGACGGCTCTCCTCAGCCCTACCACGCCACTATGTGATGGAATTAACTTGATGGCTGTGAGTTTGGTTTTTTCGGTCTTGGCAACACTGTCTTGTGTTAGGTCCAGACAGGGGGGACCAAGGGGGAGAATGAAGAATTCAAAGAACACACACATCAGCAAGAAGAGTGAACGGCCCCGCCCTCCTAACAGAACTAATGATGAACTATAAATCACAATGGAATGTCCCTCCCGAAAGACTCTGTTATAAAAACCCTCCCCAATAAATATATGGTGTGACTTCCCCATTCTGCATCTTCAGAATGAGGAACCTCACCCAGGAGCTCCCCTCTTCCCCCTCTCCCCCCTTATTAAAGCTGCGTGAAGCTTTCTCTCGTTCCCTCTGATTTCTTCCTTAAGCCTGCTAACCTAACAACTTGGACTTTTTGGCCTCTAGAACTATAAAATAAATGAATTCTTGTTTTTTAAAGTCTCTCCCTTGTGGTATTTCTGTTAGAGCAGCACTAGGAAGCTAAGAATTGATGGAAGGATGGATGGATTATCAACAGAAGGATGGATGGATGGTTGGATGGATGGATGGATGGATGGATGGATGGATGGATGGATGGATGATCAATAGAAGGATAGACAGGTGGACCAATGGATAGAAGTGACAGGAATTGGCAAATGACGTTCTGACAAAGGAGATCAATCAGAACTGGTTTTGACAAAGACTATGGCAATATTAGCAATAGAAAGGACCCTCAAGGAATGCAGCTATATAACAACAAAAACAGACTCTCAAGAAATGTGGCAAAACAACAGACTCAAGGACAAGATAAACAAGATGGCCAAAAATCACCATACATCCACTAGAAGAAATGCACTAATCAGCTGTTTAAACTCCACTCCCTGCTAACAAAAGCTATAAAAACCCTTTTGTAAGAGTCAGTCTGTTCATAGTCTGTTATGAACGTCTAATAAACCTCAGTTTCTTTTTCGGCTCTCACTTGATATTGGTGTCTTTCTTGTGTTTCCAAGTCAGAACTTTCTAGTTCTTACTAGAAGAGGCCCCTGGACCTCTTTTGGAAATCATCACCTTGACAGAAGGACAGATGGTCTTTCCTCTTAGAAGACCACTGCCTCACAGACCACCCAACTCCCCCAGACCAGGCGCAGAAAAAGTCCAGTCCTGCTCACACCCAGCACACAGCTCTCTCCTCCCACTTCCTCCACATCCAGGGCGGGGGGGGGGGCACCTGGAAGAGAAAGAGTCTCACCTGTGCTCGTGTAGCGTATCTTCCAGCCTGTGTGGTCCCCTGACTGATCGGTGACAAAGGTGATGGTCACGTTGTTGCTCTTTATTTCAATCCTAGGAGGCAACGTTGTCCCACAAAATGGGCCATATTCCTCTTTGTCAGTCTGAATCTGAAAGAGAGACCCAGGAGCTACAGGCCACGTGTCATGACAAACCCCGATGGGAGGTCACCCCAGCCTCTCAGCATCTCTGGAGAGGGCTGGTCAGGCAGACCTGGGACATGAGTGGAGGGATCTCCCTTCTTCAATTTTCTCCCACTCTGTGAAGACCACACCCTAGATTGAACCTCCATGGAGAGCCCCGGTGGTGTTGGGGTGCTACCACCATTGACCAGGAGCTCTGCTTGAAGGCTGGCCAGATGGAAGGGGTTTTGCTGCTGGGAGCTCATGTTCCCAACTTCTTGTCTGCATTACCTCATTCATGAAAGAGTCCCCACCTTCTGTGTCCCTTCCTCCAGGGCGCTGGGCAAAGGGGCAGGATGGGTCAAGGCCAACAATGGCCCACTACCATGTGGTGTGGAAAGCCTGTTCTGGATTGAATTATGTCTCAAAAAGATTTGTCAAAAGTCAAGGCCAAGGTTTAATTCAGATCAAACAAAATTGAAAAGTCATTATTTCCCCTCCTCAGACACAAAATGTCCTATTCAGGAGTTATCACAAATGTGTTAAGTATGAAGCTAATTAATATATTTATTATGCTTTTCATGAAGTAAACTCATTCTATAAAAAGAAATTTGTTGGGGGGGGATTGTATACCAATGAAGGAATTTTTCTTTTACTTTTCAAAAAGAAGAGCAAACTTGGGGGGGAGGGGTGGGCAGGGAGAAAAGTGCAACAATGAATGAATGGAAATCTAAAATCTCTGTAAATGCTCATTAAAATTAATAAAAATTTAAAAATTAAAAAAAATTGTCATCAATATTAATCTTTCTGTCGGTAGCAGGGGAGTCTCTGGTGGCCTAGTTGCACTGTTAACACAAAGGCCATGGAGCTCTGGCCATGTGAATCCACCATAGTCAGGAGAAAGAGGGCAATCTCCTCCTGTGCAATTTACAGCCTCAGAAGGTCAGTGGAGGGTCAGCTACAAATTGGTTCCAATTTGACAGTCTCTGGTTATAATCTCACTTAGGAATGGGTTGTTTTGACAGGTTCATGAGGTAGGAGTGGTGTACTTTGTGTCTTGAGTCACTCTTTTATCACATACAAAAGGAGTAGATTAAGCAAGCAGAGGTGGGGAAGATAAATGATGTGACACATGGAGACCTCCAGGAAATCAGGAATCAAGAGAGAGCAAAGGGCCTTTCCCTGGGGCCAACAAAGGGAGCCTTTCCCTACACCCTGTGCCCTGAATCTGGACCCCTAGGCTCCTACACTGTGAGGAAAGAAGTTTCTGCTTGTTGAGCAACTCCCTTGGGGTATTTCTGTTGGCAGCACTAGGTGACTAAGAGACCAAGTTGGACATGGATCTGGGGCAGCTGGATGAGGGGAGGGTTCAGGACAGGGTGGTTCCTGGGAGCCAGACCTTGAGGGAATCATAGGGGCACTGGGTTTCAGGGTGTGTCTCCACGTTGAAGGACTCCATAAAGTCCAGGATGATGCTGAACCCCTCTTCCAGGCGGATGCTGTAGCTGCAGCTGGAGAGCTTGGGGTACGGCTGCGGGTATTCTGGGCTGCTGAGCTCACCTGAGCGCTGGGTGAAGAGCTGGCCTGAGCACAGGGCTGGGAGGGGGGAAGAGATAAAGGTGAGGCTGGGCCTCCTGGCAGTGGGGATCTGAGGGGTGCTGTGCCATCTGTGCCCCTGAGTTTAGGTCAGGGCCCTATCCAAGATCAGTGCCAGAAACGCTCACCAGGACAGCTGAGGAGGGGCGTTGGGCGGGGGTGGGGGGTGGGGGGTGTTCTCTCTGAGCTTTGAGCTGCAAAGACTGCCAATGGACTTCACTCAAACCCCAAGAGGACAGGCAGCCCCACTTGAGAGGATGTGGGCCATTAAATGGAGGCTTCTGAGGGGGTTAGTGGGTCCTGATCAGTCACAACCCAGAAGTAATGGGACAAGGGTCTGGATGAGCGAGGTCAGGCTCTGTGGGGGGGTGATGTCTCCCCTAGGTCTCCCACAACCACCACTCCCAAGTTTATCCACCAGAGGGTGCACCGCCCGTGCCCATGTGGATCCGGCGCGGCCTCCCACAGTCCAACTCTCCTTGCCCGCCTGTCGCTGCTCGCTCCTAAAGGGCCTGCGGCCGTTTAGGGCACTGAAGCGACACTAACCATAAAAGAGTCGGGCACCCCCTTCCTCAGTGGGTCAGCAGATGGCAGCCTGGACCAGCTCATCTCTCCCCTCCCCCCAGGGCTGCAGATCCAGCCTTGGAGTCCAGAAGCTTCTGAAGTGGAGACTCCCACTCTGGCTACCTTCTTCTAAGTGGCTGCTCCCTTGGGCCAAAGCCTACTGGATTTGGGGAGCTAGACCCCCACCCCCACTCCCTTGAACTCCTCTCTGGACGTCCTCCTCTGGGTCAGCGCCCCCAGCCAGCCCAGCACACAAAGGCCCTGAGTTGCTCCCCAAGCAGGAGGCAGTCGGAGGATGCAGCCCCCCTTCTCCCCATCATCAACGTGGGGGCTGGAGTAAGTCATCCCTGGACCCCTCCAGCAGTGGCCCCATGGAGGGGCTCCCATCAGGCTGTGATGAAGGTGAGGAGGACAGAGAGGGGGCCAGGGGCTGAGAAGTAGCTCTGCCCGTCCCAGCCTCATTGACCCCAGAGGCAGGCAGCATCGGAAGTGGAGCTGGGTTTATTGTCAGGTCCAGAGGGGGGAGGGGGGAGGGCTGGGGGGGGCTGGGGGGGGCTGAAGGCAGCAGGCTCCTCTGGTTTCTGGCCCACTGGGCAGGCTGCAGCCCCAGGGGGACGTCTAGAGAATCTGTTCTGGAAGAGATGAGAGAGGGAGATGGGAAGGGGGCCAGTAGGGGCCCCTCCAGAGGGCTTGAAGAGGAGGGAGGAGAGTCCAAAAGTGGAGGCCAGTCCATGCCCCACATGATTCCTCAAAGTTTTGTGGAAGAAGGGGGCCATGAGAACCCTGAATGGATCAGAGGAGCCTGACCAAGAACCTTCCACCCTTACAGCAGAAGGGGCCCAGTGAGCAGGAGGAAAGAGAGGCCAGGCTTACGGGTCAGAGAAGGGACGGAGAGAGAACGCTGTGAGGCATCTCCCTGCTGCGCCCCCAACCCCGACATACACTATCAGGAGCTGGGTCAGAGAAGGGTTGTTAAGGGGAGGCTATGGGGCATCTCCCTGCCAGCCCCACCCCAATCAGGAGCAGAGATTATCTGGGGCAGGTGAGGGGCTGGGCTGGGGACCCAGAACTCCCAGTCACAGCTCACCTGAGCAGGTATGCTTGTTCTGGTGCAAACTGTATCCAGGGCGGCAGGAGCAGTAGAAGCCACCCAAGTAGTTGTGGCAGTGGTGGTCACAGGCGGGTGCCTTTCCAGAGCCCACAAAGCACTCGTCAACATCTAGGGGAGAGGCAGGCAGGTCGGGCAGGCGGTCAGCGGGAGACACATGGCCTGAGTGCTCATTTGAGTCAGAACCTGTTACTGATGGGACTGGAGTCTCCACTAGCCCCCACTGTGGCAAGCTCCCACCAACCTGGCAGGGAAATTCTGCTGCAGTTTTATTTAAACCAAGGAGACAAGTGTCCTGCCCATGTCACCCTGCTCGTGAAGGGACAGCAAACCCACGGCCTTGGGGCCTATTTGACGGGGCCTGTTCCATAGGGTTTTTTCAGCTGTAATTGTTAGAGAAGCGGATCACCAGCCCTTTCTTCTTAGGTGCCTCTGAGTGACAGTGAATCCAAATTGCTCATCATTTTGATAAAGCACACACTGCTTCTGGCACCCAAGGATAAACTGCACCACAGTAAGGTCCATTTAAGCTCTGGGGGAACTCCTGATGAGCATAGAGAGGCTGACCACGGCCAAGGTCACCCAGCGGGTCCAGCTAGCGGCTGATCTCTCACAGGAAGACCTTTGCCAGCAGAAGTCCTATTCCCACCTGGAAATGGGGTCACCCTCATCTTTGGGGGCTGCGAGATGGCCTCAGAGGTGATGGGGTGCCAGGGAAATGGGAGCCAGCAAGCAGAGGCAGTGGCTGTTCCTAGGGTTCATATTGCAGATGGTGTTGGGGCCCTATGGACCAGCCTCACCAGCTGGCTGCAGGACCCCAGGCCCAGTATCCTTCCCCGGGGTAGAGGGAGAGACTGAGGGATATCTGGCACGACCCAGAGAGGGACTCTGGCTGCAGATGGTCACCTTGGGGTCCTCCAGGCCCCCTAGCTCACCCTCTGCGGCGTAGAAGGCCTCGAAGCCTGTGAAGGATTTCTCGTTGGAGTAGTCGGAGCGGAAGGTGACCTCCAGGCTGGAGCCCGGCGGCGCGTAGAAGGTGGTGTTGCCGGGCGCCTGCTCCGTGTCCGTGCTCTCCCGGCCGCACAGCGTGGCCAGCACCTTGGCTCCCGAACTCAGCTGTGGGGTCCAGGGGTCACAAAGAGGCAAGGCAGCACCCAAGCATGGCTGCCCTCCTGCTGCTGGCAAAGGCCAGGCCCTCCTCCCCTGGGTGTCTTTGTGCCCCCAGCATACAATGTGACACCCCCCCTAGCCCCAGGGGAGCCAGGCCACCCCTACCAGGTGGCACCTTGACAAAGTCGTACTCGCAGCGGTAGGAAAGCTCCAGGTCGAAGTGCGTGAAGTAGAGGCGCAAGCGGTAGCCAGGGGGCGCAGTCAGCGTCCAGCGCTGCTCCAGGTCATTGGCATAATTCTCCGGGAAGCCAGGAGATGCCAGGCGTCCGAACATGGGCTTGGGCCACCCCGGAGCTGGGGGTGCAGCTGCCATGCCACACAGCAGGCACAGAAATGCCAGCAGCCTGAGGGCAAGGGAGGGGTGAGGACCCACACTTGTGATCACCCCTCACTCTGACCAGGAACCTGTGGGGGGCTTCCACCCACCTCATGGCGCCTTGATCCAGCTAGCTCAGCCTGGTCTATGGCCCGTGCTGCCCTCACCTTTGGTCTGTTTGCCCAGCCACCGGGCCCTGCCCCCTGCTCCCTGACCCTGGGATTCTGGGACCGAGCCTGCCTGGAGTTCCAGGAGCCAGGAGGCTGGGCCTGGTTGACAGACAGCCCTGCGGACAAATGCATGAGTCTCCCAAATGGAGAAAATGGGAGAGGAGGCAACACCATCCTCGTTTTGGAAGCTGGGGGAATGGATGGATTTCTAGACTTAGAAGTTCGAGTTGGTGGTAGGAAAAAGCCAGAAATGCACCTGAACTCCCCAAAGACCCAGAAGCCTTCTGGAAGTGTTTAAGAACCCAGCCAACACCCTAGTTTTCAGTCCCATCAGTGTAGAGACTTATTCTTGGAGGGTCCCTGGTCCAGCTGAGGATGGGGCAGCAGGTATTCACCCAGAGGCATCAGCTGACACTTTGAATGTTGAAAATCCCCATCCTCTTCCAGTCACTCAAGCTCAAGAAGCAGCCAGCCAGGCCTCCAGCTCAGGAGGAAAGACCTTGACTTTGATGGTTCTATGAGCAGATGAACTGGCCCCAGATAAAGTCAAGTTGACAGGTCTCACTCATGTACTCACCACCACATGCAGCCCCATCAGTCTATGTGCAAACTGCATCTACTGTCTAGTCAAAGACAAGGTCATTAAGAAGTTCCCATCAAAACATTGTTAGAGGCCACATGAAGGAACATGATTGAGCGAGCTGAGCCATTCACTGCAAGGGAGTCAGGAGCTGCCTTGGGGAAGCCTGAAGGTTAGAGTTCTCCCAGCACAATTCAGACCTGGCAGGTGCTGCCCTGCCAGCTTGCCCAACACCCATGCGAAGATGCGCGTCCTTAGAGGCTTACGAAAATCCAACCTGAGAGGAAACTATCCTGAAAAAGAGAAAGCAAGCCTGATGACTAGTGATGGAAGATTATCTGGCATAGTGTCAGACGAGACCCTTGGGTGGGAAGGCACTCGATGTACGACTGGAGAAGAGCTGGCTTCTCTGAGTAGTTGTTGGGTGTCATTGAGTGAACTACGACTCACAGCGACCCTGTGAACAGCAGATCTGAACCCTGTCCTATCCTGTGCCATCATCATCTCTGTTATACTTGAGCCCACTGCTACAGTCACTGTCAACATATCTTGCTGAGGGTCTTTCTTCCACTGACCCTCCACCTTTCCAAGCATGTCTTTTTCCAAGGACAGGCCCTTTCTAACAACCATCCCAAAATATGTGAGAGGAAGAGTCACCAACCTTGCCTCCAGGGAGCACCCTGGCTGCACCTTCTCCTGGATATACTTATTTGTTCTTTTGGCAGTCTGTGGGATATTCAGTACTCTTCTCCAACACCACAGCTCAAAGGCATTGAGTCTTCTGACATCCTTAGTCATCATTTAACTTTCAGATGCATAGCAAGTAATTGAAAAGACCATGGCTTGAATCAGGTGCACCTTAGTCTTTAAACTTACTCTATTGCTCCATGTTGTTGTTGTTGTTGCTGCTGCTGTTAGCCATAACTTGTTGTGATTCATACAATCAAATGCCTTTGTATTGTAAAAAGTGCATAAATAGACATTCTTCTGACATTCTTTACTTTCAGCCAGGATCCATCTGACTTCAGTAATGATATCCCTCTTCTAAATCCTGCTTGAAGGTCTGACAGTTCTCCATCTATGTACTTTTGAGCCATTCTTTAATTATCTTCAGCAGTATTTTGTTGCATGTGATATTAATGATATTGTTTAATAGTTTCTGCATTCTGTTGGATCACCTTTCTTGGGAATGGTAACAAATATAGATCTCTTCCAATCGGTCAGCCATACAGGTGTCCTCTAAATTTTCCTGGCATAGACTACTGAGCTCATGCAGGGCTGCATCTGTTCATTGAAACAAGTCAATTGGTATCACATCGATTCCTGGGGCCTTTTTTCCCAATGACTTCGATGCAGCTTCCACTTCCTTCTTCATTACCATTGGCTCCTGCTCATATGGTGCTTCCTGATATTTTTCAGTGTCAGTCAGTTCTTTCTGGTACAGTGACTCTGTGTATTCCCTCCATCTTCTTTTGATGCTTTCTGGATCATTCAATTATTACTCATAGCATCTTTCAGTATTGTGACTCGAGGTTTAAATTTGGTTTTTCAACCCGCCAGGGGAACGCACGCCGCCGCCCGCCGGGGGGAACACACGTCGCGGCCCGCCAGACCAGGGGAACGCCGCTGCCAGCCGGGGGAACGCACGCCGCCG